GTGGCTGTGAGCGTGCCACTGCACTCCAGCCTGGGCAACAGACTGAGATGCTGACAAAAATAAAATAAAATAAAATAAAATAAAAAGACAGGATCTTGCCATGTTGCCCACGTTGGCCCTGAAGCCCTGGCCTCAAGTGATCCTCCCACCTCAGCCCCGAATAGCTGGGACTATAGCCGTACGCCACTGTGCCTGGCTTAAAATGGGAAATACATAGTATGTGGTTTTTACCACACAATTTTTAAAGTCTTTAAAACAAGCCAAGCGTGCTGGTTAATGCCTGTAATCCCAGCACTTTGGGAGCCGGAGGCAAGGGGATTGCCTGAGTCCTGGAGTCAGACCAGCCTGGGCAACTTAGCAAGACCTTGTCTCTACAATAAGCAGGGGCTCACAGGGGAAACAACACAGTGACACAAACAAAGCAAGTGCGAACTGTGTCAAGGACCAAAGAACAAGGAGAGGACAGCTCCACATGAGGTTGGCAGGTGGCACTGAGGCTGGGGCCTAAGGAGACAGACCTGAGAAGGGCAGAGCACCAAGGATGGGGGCAGGGCAGGAACCATGAGGGAAGGAGTAGTCCCATGTCTCTCTCTCTGTGCTGTGGGAGCCCTCCTGGGATCATCTGGCCTGGCCCAAGCCCACCAGAGTCCTTCAGCTGTCTGACCAGTTCTACTCACCTAGGCTGGCCCCCAATGCGAGTTCATCAAAGGCAGGAGGGAGACAAAACTCAGGGAGCTCTTGGGAGGGTCTGGCCCTACACAGCTTGGCTGGGGTGGGCTTGAGAGGACAAGAGACACTGTCCAGTCATGGGGAGGCAGAGGACCTCCCGGAGGTGCCAAGGATGGGCACTCACTCAAGTGGAGTGGAGGCCAGGGAGCCGCTGGGATGACCCCTAGGAGTCTGGCACCCCCAGCACCCTCAGGCTGTGGTCTGTGGCGTTAGGTCACCAGGGCAGGACCTGGTCCCACACAGACTTGAGATTCTCTCTGCTGGGATCTCAGGACCTGCACAAGACCCCACCTGCCTGAGTCCCCTGCTCCCAGTCCAACAGGCATCTTTCCATAAGCTCTCAGGACGCTGGGCTTCCTGCTGCCCACACATGACCCTGACTAGTCAGCTGACCTTGCCCCAGCACCAGACAGGCAGAGACGGCTCAGTAACTCCCTGTCACCCCACACCTAGATGGGCCTGAGCACAGGAGCAGCCCATAGTGGCTCTGAGGGGCTGAGCTGCAGTCCACACTGCCTGCGGCAGCCACCTCACAGTGCCCAGTCAGTTGTGCCCATGCTGAGGTGGCAACAATGCCACAGGCCACTCTGGAAATCCTGCAGCAAATCCCAAAGGGCTGGAGGCAGCCAGGACAAGTCCTCACAGTCGGTTCACCGGAACATTTCTGCAGAGCAGTCACTGACCTGGGATGGTATCTTAGTGCAGAGGGCCCTTCTGCTGCCACCTGAGGGTGCCCTGAGTCCACTGGTCAGAGCAGACCCTCTCCCAAGAAAAAGAAGCACCAAGAAATTCAGTCAGCTGCTAGGGAGTCATGCATGAACTCAAAGGCGAAGGTGAATCACTCCTGTGATTAATGTTTGTGGGAAGTGTGGATTTTTTTGTGTTTTGAGTCGAGGTCTCACTCTGTCACCCAGGCTGGAGTGCAGTAGCACAATCACAGCTCTCTGTAGTCTCGATCTGCTGGGCTCAAACGATCCTCCTGCCTCAGCCTCCCGAGTGCCTGGGGCTACAGGCATATACCACGACCCCGTCCCAGAGCATGTTTTTTGACAGGCACCATGCTCAGTGCTGTACATGCATTCACTTCTTTGCAGATGAGAAAACCGAGGCACAGGAAGTCCTTCAGCCAAGGGCGGACTGCGGCTCAGAGTATGAAGGCCTCAGAGACTCCCCAGCCTAACAGGTCTCTGGCCCTAGACTCCTTTCCAGTTTGTGTGCGGAGGCAGCCAGGCTCCTTCAGGACTGCAGCCCTGACTTCCTGCAGGCTCCCTCAGAGTCAAGCCAAATCAAAGGCAGCTCACGTGCTTCACACCATTATGGGGAGCCAGCCCCCCAAAAGAAATTTAGAGGGTCCCTGGAAGGTGGGGCAGCGTCGGCGAATATTCTGGAGAAATAAAGAGAAAGAAAGAGACTGGACTCTGTCTAGTGCAGAAGCCGATTTTGTAGTAGGGATAGATATTGAAAGAAAGATGGAGGAATAGATATAAAGAGAAAGAAAGAAAGTGGACAACTGTTCAGTGAAATGAGCAGAAGCCGTTTATTGGGACCAGCCGGAGTCTTTTATCCCAAACTTTCACATGTTAAATCACAAGACTTTCACATGAGCACAAGGCCAGGTGGGTGAAGCGCATCCCCCACCCACCAGATGTTTCCTCAGGCATGAGGAAGGACAATCCCAATCAAATCACAAGACTTTTACGTGAACACAAAGCCAGGTGGGTGGAGGGCGTCCTCACCCACCAGGCGTTTTCCCAGAGCATGAGGAAGGACAATCCCAAAATTATCTCACTGTTCCTTATGCTTGGTTTATGTTCCTCAAAAGCAATACAACAGTTTTAATATCACAAAATCCTAATAATCAATAACTTCTAAAACTTATGCATACCCAACACCTAATGACTGACTTAAATCCTAATATCTTTCTATTCTGTGTTAACTTTACCTATACTATAAACAACTCTTAATTATGGCTTAAACCAGTTCCTAAAGAATGTGGCCCAGCCCAAAGTTTGTGCTGGGCCATTTCTGGTAACCCTAGATAATAATCTATACCATCTAACACTGGAAACAGCCCTCTAAATGTATACACTAATTTTATAAATATATTTTTAAATCTTATAAAGAAGCTTGTATTATGTATAAGGCTCCCAAATGTGATCTGAGTTTGAACTGTGTTAAGTTTAAAGCCAAAACCACAGTCTGAGAAATAGGAACATTGGCTCTCTAGAGTCAGCCATGCCTGTCATAAAAGTCCCTGCCAGTGGGTAACGCTAAACAACAAAGAAAGGAGGAGGGAATGGGCCTTCAGCTCCTGAACCAGCCTGGTGGTCTCAAGGTCTGCAGCCCGCCTGGATCCCTAACGCTCAGGTAGGCCTCCACAGCTGGTTCCCAACACACCATGTTCCAAACTAGCTCGGGGCCCAGACACACATCCCTTTGTCCTTTTCCATCTGTCTGCCTGTCCACCTTGGATCCTGTGCTCTTCAAGTCAGAGTCTTGTGACCCTCCAACCCCTGAGGACCCTCAGACTGTCCTCCTGGGCACTGGGCCTGTTCCTAGCAGGAAGGAAGCTGCTTTCTGCCCCGGGTCCTAGGCAAACTGTATAGAGCCAACCACGAGCAAGTACAAAATATGTTGTTTTAACTGCATAAGAGCAGCTAAACAGTTGTTATTAAATACAAACAGAAAAGCTTGCAATGACTTTTAAGGGAATGATTTTTAAAGGAATAGATCAAAAGCTTCTTTCCCAAAAAGCCAACTCCTATATCTATCTGCAGAGAAAAGAGAACACCCCAAGCACATTCGGTCCTGAGATTCCCAATCTCTTTACCTCTCAGCCTGTGAAGCTGGTTTACACCTTCTATCTTGTGGATTTCAGATTACTTTCTTTTAAACAGAAAAAAAGACACACAGATGTATCAAAATGAAAATAACTCCCTGCCCATTGCCCCCGCTGCTGCAGACGAGCCACTTCAGATCACTTCTCACCAGACCCCAGGATGGAGAGAAGGGCCCACTGCAAGGGAGTGGGCTTCTCCAGCTGCGGAAGGGCAGACGCAGGCCTCCGCTGTCTGATGCATTCCGTCCAGTGGGAAGACCTCAACATGAATCCTACAGAAACAGCCTAACTTTTGTGTCCTTCCTAATCCTTAAACACAATCCAAGTCTTTAAAAAACAAATCTGGAACAGGAGGAAAAAATATAAAGCATAGCTGCAAAACAGATTAAGACCAAGTGATAACAAAAACTGCTCACTGACTCAAGATTAGGCAACATGCACAGACAAGGAAGTAAATGCAATCTGATCCTTCTCCAAATCTCAACGCATTCACAGACATCAGCAGCAAGATGAGGTGTGAACGCACTCTAAGTGCACCTAGGTGCTAAGGGAAACAGTGCAGACACCTGTCATTCCTGAGATCACCCTGCCTGGAATGATCCCCGTGGACAAAGGTGGCAGAGGTCTTCAGTCACTGTCACTGAAAGAGAGGCAAGTGCAATCTTTACTGTTAAAGGCTCCTGGGAATCAAAAGCAAAAGAAAGAACACCAGTCTCTCCTGCATTTATTACAATTTTGCAAAAAGTCACCCGAACAAAACAAAGAACTGAGCACATGTCCTCACTCACAAGTGGTCCCTGAACATCCATCATTAATACCACACTGCGACACGCATGCACACACACACACACACACACACTCAATAAGGGTACCTGAACCCAAAGCAGGCGAAGAGGGAACCAAAGGGAGGCCCACACTTCACCAGGACGACGACGGCTTACGTACCTAATGCTGAATTGTGCCCCACATCTTTAAAATAAAATTAAAAAAATTTTTTTTAAAGTCATCTGAACAGAACGCCACCTGCCCCCCTTGAAGGACCCTTTGGGAATAAGCCGCAACACTGCTACCAGGAAGAACCGCGGGCGGGTCTACCACCCAGGCCCCCAACCCCGCCCTGGGCCTGAAGGCCACCCCGCTGCTCCCCACGCCACTGGCCACCCGGCTCCTTCCTCCGGGAACTCAGAATCCAGGTTCCGGCTCTGCTGCTCGCCCGTGGAGCCCCGAGGCCCGTTCCCGAGGCCGTCGGTGGCTCCCTCGCCGGGTCTCTAAAATGGGGACGACACGACTGCCCTTCCACCGAGGAGCGCACACTTTCCGGCACCAGGCCTCAGTTTCTCCGCGGAGCAACCCGCCGATCAAAGGCCCGTTTCCCGCACCGCGGCGGCGCGAGGCCTCAGTTTCTCTGGAGCGACCCCGCGGCGGGCCCCACCTGGCGCGCGGCCGCGGGCCCGGCCCCGTTCAGCAGCGGGGTCCCCGCGCTGGGCCGCGCCATCCTCCGCAGCAGCGGCGCCGTCTCCTCGTCGTCCCGGTCGCGGCCGGACCACGACACCTTCTTGGAGACGTTGGCCATGGCCCGCGCGGAGGGGACAGGCGGGGTAGCGCCGACCACCCCGTGTTTGTGCTCGTGATCCGCGCCGGGGCCCACGTGACGCGAGAGGCCGGCCACGTGACGCGCCGCGGTGGCCGCGTGACTCGCGGCCCGATCACGTGACGGCCGAGCGCAGGGCGCAAGCGCGGTCTGTGGAGTCTCCGTCTCGGCGCTGCTGCTCTCAGGACGCTCCTCTCTCCACGGTGTCGCAGGGTCGGGCCGGCCCGCCCGTCTTTAGAGCGTCGCAGCGCGCGGGGACCTCGTTGTGCACGCGCGGTCGCGAGGGCGAGTCTGTGGCGCTGAGCCCGGAGCCCGGAGCCCGCAGCCCGGTGGAGGCGAACGGCTGCGGCACCTGGGATCCAGGGCCTGAGGATCCGAGAGAGAGACGCCCCCGGGATTAGGGGCGGGAGTAGCCCGAAGGGTCCACGCCGACCCATCGTGACGACATGACACGTGGATGAGGATCTTGAGCCCCCGGGGAAGGCGGGCACCCCTTGATGGGCTGCCGTCGAGCAATGTGAGCGGTGGCGGAGTCCACCCAGCAGCGCTTTGCAGCCATCCAAGGACGAATTCAGGGAGAACTGAGTCAGGTCATTTCGCGGGAGTCACTGAGTCAGGTCGCCGCAGGCGTCTCCAAAGGTCCTCCTGGAGGTGGCCTAGGAGAATAGGAAAAGATCATCCAGGGAGGGCCAGTTCTTCCCACTCTCAGGTGCAGAGAGACATTGAATGAGACAGCCATGCCCTGCACCCCCTGAGCTGTGTGTTCATCTCAAACTGGTGCAGACGTCCCAGGGGCCAGGAATCAGCCCAACTATGCATTCCACACTGTGGGCCTCCCCTAGAACTGAACAGCTGATGGAAGAATCACTCATAAGTATTATTTTTGTCAGCCAAGGCGAGCTCCCGACAGAACTCTGGATCAGCACACTTACTGCCAGCTCCACCCCCACGTGGAGGTGGGGTGTTACTCTGTGGCCCAGGCGGAAGTGTAGTCACGAGGTCATAGTTCACTGCAGCATTGAACTGCTGGGCTCAAGCAACCCTCTCACCTCAGCCTCTCAAGTAACTGGGACTATAGTTGCACGCCCCATACCCGGATAATTTTTTGTCTTTAAAGACCTGTTTTTATCCTGATGCGGTTCACACCTGCAATCCCAGCACTTTGAGACGCCAAGGTGAGAGAATTGCTTGAGCCCAGGAGACAGAGACTAGTGTGGGCCACGTAGCAAGACCTCGTCTATGAAAAAATCAACAAATTAGCCAGGCGTGGAGGTACACACCTGTAGTTCTGGTACACAGTAGGCTGAAGTCCTACCTACTGAGGAGGCTGAGGTGAGAGTGTCACTGGAGGCCAGGAGATTAAGGCCATAGTGCGCTGAGATCACGCCACTGCACTGCAGCTTATACCCTGCCTCAAAAAATAAAAACCTGCTTGTAACAAAGACCAAACAAAGGTTACTTGGGTCTAAAGTAATTTAGGCTCAAATAGACTCCTTAAACTATATTTAAGTTAAAGTAACTTTGTAAGTTACATTTTGTGTCTCAGTCTTTTCCTTTCAGTTCTTTTTTTATTTTTATTTTTTAGAGTCGGAGTCTCACTGTCTCCCAGGCTGGAGGTCAATGGCATGCTCATGGCCATTGCAACCTCGACCTGCTGGGCTCAGATGATCCTTTTGCCTCAGCCTTCCAAGTACTTGGAACTACAGGTGTGCACCACCACTCCCGGCTTTTAAAAAATTATTATTGTAGAGATGAGGTCTCGCCAAGTTGCCCAGGCTGGTCTTGGACCCATGGGTGCAGGCAATCCTCCCACCTCCACCTCCCAAAGTGCTGGGATTACAGGTGTGAGCCACTGTGCCTGGTTTTTCTTTTTTGAGCTAGAGTCTCACTTAGTTGTCCAGGCTGGAGTGCAGTAGCACAATCATGGTTTACTGCAGACTCAGCCTCCCGGGCTCAGGTGATCCTTCTGCCTCAGGCTCCCAATAGCTGGGACTACAGACACATACCACCACAATCAACTAATTGTTTTATTTTTTGTAGAGATGAAGCCTTGTCATGTTGCCCACATTGGTCTCAAACTTCTGGGCTCAGGCAGTCCTCTTGCCTTGACCTCCCAAAGTGCTGGGATTATAGCATGAGTCACCATGCCCCACCCAGGCTGTTTCGCTTAAGGGTGAAGGGAGAAAGGAAATCTCACAACCTGCAGCTGAAGCAAGCAACTGAGCTCAGCTTTGCTGGTGATGGGATAAGCTGGTATGTGTCTCCTGATGTGAGGCAGTGGGAAGGACACAGCATTGCTTCTGGAGTATTCCTGCAAAAAATGTTTCTCTTGAGTCTGCTTATAAGGGCACAGTCAGATGAACCCAAACTAGGGACACCCTGCTACACAGGGTGCACATTGTCCATAATGTCGGTATCCTGAAAGAAAAAGGGAGGCTGAAGAGACAGCTTGGAGGCGCCACACAGGTCTGGTGTTATTGGGAAGATTGGCAGTGACACACCGTGTCAGCAGTATTCCTGCAATGCTAGTGGTACTGTCTGAGTAACGCTTAGCTGCTATCCTTGACACCAATAAATCCAGAAATAGGAACTGGTAAAAAGAGGTTTATTTCTGAATTCGAATCAAGGGAGAAGAGCCTGGCTCCTATCTTTTTGAAATTGGTCTGCTCATTCTTTAGGTTTTACAGTTTGCTGTGATAAATTCAGGGTTGTTGGCACCCATTAACTGACTAGTGACTGGCAGAACTTAAGTTACAGCTGCAGTTTGTCAATAAAGACATGTGTGGTCCACATTTTCTGGCACCAGTTAACAGAAGTATCTCATAGTTTCTTATTAGTAACACCCAGCAGAAACATTAATCAGGCTGGCCATAGAGTAAAGGGAGTTTATAAGGCCTAAGACATCATTCATGACTACATGTTGTTATTAGTACACAAAAGTTATACAACTCATGAGACTTATGATTACCTTGATACTGTATCATTCAAACCTGTGTCTAAAGAAAAGGGAGTAAGTGCGGATTCATTTTTCTCAGTTAATTGGCACAGTCTGCAGGGAAGTTAAGAATACTTTGCAGTTACTTAACTGAGAGTGTAAAGGGGATAAGGGGAAACACTCTTCTTAGTTAACTATCAGGAATGTGGGTACGTGCAGGCCTGAACACTCGCCATGCCCTTCTCTAGGGGTTGTGGCAACATGGACAGACAATAGCGAGTCTGTATTATTTCCTCACTTTCAACTGAAGCCATGACATCCATCATGGAATTAGTTATGCTGCCTTAACCTAAACATGCGTATGATTCTTTCTCTCAGTTGACTTTTATGCTTTTTAGGCCTTGTTATGAATGCAGGAGTTTTAACAACACATCAGATACAAAGTATGAAGGCTAAATATATTAATATTGCTATTATAAACACAGTCAAAAAGAACATTCCCACTTCTGAAAGGAGGTCCTGTAACCCTGTTGGGAGCCAAGAAAACATGCTGGGAAGCCATCAGAGCCCTTTCCAAGCATCTCCGTAAGCATCTGTATCACCTACAGCATTATTGCTGGTTTTCATTTGACTTAGCATTGCCCTGATGTTCCCTGATTCATCTGGGATGAAAGTGCCACCCTCGGTATGAATAATGGCACGTGTGCCCTCTTGAGATGCAGTAAGGACGTCTAAAGTCATTCTGCTTTGTAGTACTGCCTTACGCATCAGAGTTATTTCAATATTAATTAACATGCCAGTTTTGCTTTCGTTCAAGGCTTGGTATGTGAATTTAACTAAAGCTTCAATGTGGAAGGACACACTTTCCAGTCCTACATTGGGTAAAAAGAAAGGACATAATTGTACCATTTGAAAACAGATCTAGTTCACTGAGTGTGCAGATGAGGCAAGTTGGCTATGTTTGCTTTTTGCAGAGTGCTGTATTTGTGTCCTTGGGCCTATGGAAAGCCCAGAGTGCATCTACCAATCCCACCTGGGGGGAAACCAAGATCATAAATTGGTACCACAGATCCACCAAGTCCCATTGGGAGCTCACCAGGATACCCGGCCTCTGAATCCAACTGGTGCAAACAAATCGCTGTTCTTAAGGATGAAAAGACTTTGGCATTGCTCCAAAGGGACCCAGCCCATGGATCAGGTTGTATTTAAAGATGTTGCTTCTGGATGCGGTGGCTCACACCAATAATACCACCACTTTGGGTGGCTGAGATGAGAGGATTGCCTGAGATCATGGATTTGAGACCAGCCGGGGCAACTTGGTGAGACCTCATCTCTACAATAAATCAAAAAATTAGCTGGGCTTGGTGGTGCATGCTTGTTGTTCCAGTTACTTGGAAGACTGAGGCAGAAGGATTGCCTGAGCCCAGTAGATATTGAGGCTGCGGTGGCCATCAGCATGCTACTACACTCCAGTCAGGGTAATAGAGTGAGACTCCAGCTCAAAAAAAAAAAAAAAGTTGCTTTGAATGGGTTTTTTATTGCTGCTGTTCCCAACACAAGGGAGGTGGTTTGTTTACTCTCCCCTATTCAGGTGTGAGCCATTTTACCCCATCCCATATCTGATGGAACCCTCCCATGGTTCAATAATTGAGGCCTGGAGCTTCAAGCACACACTGATTATGTTGGTTAAAAATTATATTGTCTTGTATGGTAGATTGGTATGAAAAGGTAAAATTATGGCCTGGTTCACTTATAGTTTTCTCAATGGCTCACTGCTGTGAACTAATTCTTGTTAGGTCATCTCTATAAGCTGCTTGATTTCCCAACTCTGAGCTCCTGATGTACAGATCTAGTTGCTTTCACTCAGTCCCACTAGGGAGCCCCAGAGGCTCCTGAAACTGGAAGTTGCCCTCAAATCCAACAATTTGAATAAATAAATGTATTGGCATAGGGATAGGCCCATTCTAAACACACATTTCTTTTTTTTTAAAAGAATATTTTTATTTTATTTATTTTAACATATTTTTATTTTAAAATTGTGGGGTACAGTTAAGGGTTAGGTATACAGGTATGCATTGTACAGGTATCCTTGTTGATGAGGTGTGCCCCCCCCCGTCCCCAGACAGACATCAACTACCGTTAATCC